AGCATCTTTTCATATATCTGTTGGCCATCTAGATGTCTTCTTTGCAAAAATGTTCATGTCTTCTGCCCATTTTTAAATTGGGTTATTTGTTTTGCGGGTGTTGAGTTGTATTTGTTCTTTATATATTTTTGATCCTGTTCATTGGACGTATCATTTGCAGATATCTTCTCCCATTCAGTAAGTTGACTTTCAATTTTGTTGATTATTTCCTTTGGTGTGCAGAAACTTTATTTTGATGTCAAACCAGTAATTTTTGTTTTTATTTCTCTTACCTCAGGAGATATACCTAGAAAAACATTGCTGTGGCTGATGTTAGAGAAATTAACAATTGCCTATGTTCTTGTCAAGGATTTTTAGAGTTTCAGGTTTCACATTTAGGTCTTTAATCCATTTTGAGTTTATTTTTGTGTATGGTGAAAGAAACTGGTCCACTTTCATTATTTTGCATGTAGCTGTCCAGTTTTCCCAGCACCATTTGTTGAAGACACTGTCTTTTCCCCATTGTATAGTCATTCCTCCTTTGTCAAAGATTAATTGAGCATGTAATTATGGGTTTATTTCTGGGTTTCCTTTTCCATTGATCTTTGTGTCTGTTTTTTTTTGCCAGTACCATACTGTTTTTATTGCTGCCACTTTGTAGTATAACTTGAAGTTTGGAACTGTGTTACCTCTGGTTTTGTTTTTCAAGATTGCTTGGCTGTCATTTTGTGTGGTTTTGTGTGTGTGTGTATATATTTTCCTAGATTTTTACAGCAGGGTGGTTAATTATCTATTTTAATTTTTTATATAAATGTTTAAGACTTTGTTAAGACTATGAATTTCTTCTGTCCGTGCATTAAGTAACCCCTGTAAATTATGATATATAGTATTTTCATTATCATTTTTTAGAAATTCTGTAATTTTGACTTCTGTCTCACCTTTCTATCAAGTTGATAGAAAATGTTTAAATCTCTAAGTGGAAAGCTATGAGATAATAGAAAATATATATATTGGTCTCTGGCCTGAGTTCCTGGTACAGAGGTCCTAAAACTCTTGTGACTTCCTAAGTGATAAAAACACTAGGTTATCTTTTGTTTTAATATTTCTTGGTTTTTTTTTGTGTGTTTTGTTTTGTTTTGTTTTTACCCCAGTTCTTGACAGAGTTCTTGAATCTCTTGGAATTTCCCGGGAGATTAACAATGTGTTTCATTCTGAAGGGACCTTTGGTGGGCTTTCTGGATGGGAGCTGGTCACCAGAAGGAAAGAATAATACATGATAGAAGCTTGGGATTTTCAGCCCACACCCCGTTTTCCGGAGAGGGGGAAAGGAGCTGGAAATGGACTTAATGATCTATAATACTTATGTGATGAAGCCTCCATAAAAATCCCAGAGGTACGGAGTTCAAGAGCCTCCAAGTTGGCAAACATGTGAATGTGCTGGGAGAGTGGAGGCCTTGGTGAGAGCATGGAAGCTCCACCTCCACTCTCAGAACTTGTCCTGTCAGTTGTCCTCTGTCATTTGGATGTTCATCTGCATCCTTTATCATATCTTTTTATAATAAACTGTTAAACATAACTGTTTTCTTGAGTTTTGTGAGCTGTTCTAGCAAATAATTGAATCCAAGTGAAGAGTCAAAGTAATCTCTCAATTGACAAGTCCAACAGAAGTTGAGGATTACCTGGGGACCTATTACTTGTGGTTGGCATCTAAAGTGGCAGAGTTGTCTTGTGCGATTGAGGCCTTAACCAATGGCATCTGTACTAACTCTGGTTAGTATCAGAATTGAAACAAAGGACACCCACTCTGTTTCACAGATAATTGCCAAATTTGGGGGGGAAACCCCACACTTAGGATGTCAAAGTGTTGTGAGTGTGGTCATATTGTGAGAATAAAAGAGAAACACAGAAATAGTGTGTTTTTTTCTAAACAGAAGACCTTTTGGGGTGCCTCCGTGGCTCAGTTAGAGTGACTCTTGATTGCAGCTCAGGTCTTGATCTCAGGGTCATGAGTTTGGGCCTTTTGTTTTTTGTTATTAATATCCAGTTCGACTGTATTGTGGTTAGAGTGTGTTCTTTGTTTCCTTTGTGTGGTTGGTGTTTTTAAATACTCTGTGTATACCTCAGAGGAGAGCAAAATGTATTATCATGGTACAGTTTGATATGTATCAATAAGATCTACCTCACTGTTTATGTTAATTTGGCTTTCTATATATTATTTTTTGTCTACTTGACCTGGTTCACACTGAGAGTGGTGTGTTTCTGCTTTATTGAGTTGCTTTTATTACTTGGTACATGGATATTCATTACTGTTTTATCCTTGTTATGAATGCTTTTTGCATTAAAATGGTTCTTTGTCATTTAATGCTTTTAGGCTTGAAATCTACTTGTCTAGTATTAGGATCAAGACCTTTGTTTTGCTTTTGCTTGCCTGGTGCACATTGGCCTATCCCTTTATTTTTAGCTTTTCCGGTTAACTTTGTTTTAGTTGTATTTCTGATATGCAGAATGTATCCAGATCTTTTTTCTTTTAATGGATGAGTTAAGCCCATTCATATTTACTTATCATTATTATGCATAATCATTATATGTATTAGCTTTTATTTGTTGTGTTTCTTAACACAACAAATTTTATTTTACTAATTGCTTTAGTTAGAAAAAGTATTTTTTTATTGGTTATCTTTGAACTTACAACTTGTAAAAATGACAGATTATCTCTTTTAATCCTCAAAACTGACCTATGAGGCAGTTACTATTATTTTCCCAATTTTACAAATAAGAAAACTGATGCCCAGAGAGGTTAAGTAACTTGCCCAAAGTAACTCAGCCAGTAGTAAAGAAGGAATAGGACTCCAGAACTAATGATTTTTTTGGGGGAAAACTTTATTGTTGTATAATTGACACACAGTAAACTGCACATTTTTTAAGTGTATAATCCTTCCCACTCCTCCTCCCCTTCTTCCCAGTGCCTAAGCAAACAGTGATCATTGTGTTGTTTTTGTATGTATCTTCTTTCAAAATGTTTGTGGGTTTTTTTTTTTAATCTCTCATTTATGATGTGTCTTAACATGCTTTTTTTTTTTTTCATTTATCCTATTTGGAGTAAATTTCTTGAATTCTTGAACCTCTTAAATTTTGTAAATTTATATCTTCAGTCAAATTTTGGAAGTTTGGGCATTAATCAAATATTTTTTCTGCCCTCATCTATGATTCCAAATCTACATACATTAGATCTTTTGAAACTGTTCCACAGGTCCCTGAGGTTTTGTTCATTTGTTTTTCAGTCTTTTTTCTTTGTGTTCCTTAGATTGGATAATTTCCACTGAGTTTATCCAGTGAATTTATTTTAAATAGGTATTTTTGAATTCTAAAATTTTCATTTAGTTCTTTTTTATAATTTCTGTTTGTATTTCCTATCTTTTCATTCATTTCAAGTGTGTTTTTCTTTACCTCATGGAACATAGTTATAGTTCCCTTTAAAGTCTTTTTCTTCTAATTCATAATTATTTTGGTGCTGGTATCTGTCACTTGTTTTCATTGGCCTTCAGCTTTGCTGGTTGAATGTCTAAGTTCTAAGTTCTGTCTCTTTTATCAGTTCTGCTCTCTTTTCATCAGCTCAGCAATTCAATTCTCCATATTTTAAGCTTTGGCTGTGTTTTTGCAGGCCTGCCTCACAAGTGGTGTATAGTTTATAGGAGTTAAGCCAAGATAGTGTTCATACTCAGAAACGGGGAGCCCCCTTCTCAGCTCTCTTCCCTTTGGGGTTCCCACCACATCCTTCAGTCTTGCTGGCTCCTTGGGCCAGAAAGAGGTTTCCATTGTTTTCACCACCCTCATTGCTTCCTAACTGGGGCCTACCTCGGTGTAAAGCCATGAAGTGGAAAAAAAACATTGGAAACTCCCCTTCAGGGTTTGCTTCTTCACGTTTTGACCCCTTGTTAGCAATGTACCTGCTTTTGTGTATTTTCTAGGTCACTAGGCAGGGGTATGTGTACATGTGTGATGTGTTTTTTTGGGAGTTAATAGTTGCAGATGGAAGAATGAGCTATCAGGAAATTAAACCCCCCAATTTGCATGGTTTTATTTTTTCTTTATGCTGATGTGCATGGTTTTTGATGAGTGTGTTGGGAAATTATAATTTACATAGCCATTATTACCTGTGTTACCTTGGTAGTCAATATTGAGTTTTTTCTCTGAATCCAAACACTTTTTACTTTTTTTCCTATATCTTTTTGACATACTATGTTGATTAGGTAAAAGAAGTATCTTGTTCTTTGTTTTTAGCAGTTCTGCTATCTACAATTAAGGCTTGTTTTAAGAACTATATAATAGGAGTTTTAATAAATCAAAGACCTTATATTATAGAAACATCTTGTTTATATTTGTTCCATTAATCTGTAATGTAGGTAGGCCAGAAAAATCTAAGAGGATAATATAATGATAAATATTAGCAAAAAATAGTCATAGTCATTATGAATTTCAAAGGCACTTATAATAGGTAGGGGATAATAACAATATTTCAGTATCTTAATAAGAAATTAATGTGTTCTTTAAAAATTAAGACACAAAGAGGTTCAGTCCTGAAATAACCACATGATTTTCATTACATATTTTTACATAGTTACCAAGACTGTCATGAGATTTAGATGTTAATTTTTTTATGCATGTGTTTTTTTTTTTTTTAAGATTTATCTATTTATTTATTAGAGACACAGAAAGAGAGAGTCAGAGACACAGGCAGAGGGAGAAGCAGGCCCCATGCAGGGAGCCCGACATGGGACTTGATCCGGGGTCTTCAGGATCACACCCTGGGCTGAAGGCAGCGCTAAACCGCTGAGTCACCGGGGCTGCCCTATGCATGTGTTTAAATGCAGTTGAAGACACTATTTTAGGTCTGCCTTTAAAGAAAAAAGGCAAAACAAAACTCTTGTAGTGTTTATTAATGACTCATAAACTAATGTATGGATGATGACATTCAAACTTTAATACTTCCTAATGTTTAACTTATAATTTTTCCCATTTAGATGGTCTTCTGATTGTTGGTGTTCACTCAGCTAAGTTTCCAAATGAAAAAGTCCTGGATAACATTAAGAGCGCTGTTCTTCGATACAACATCACTCACCCTGTGGTTAATGATGCAGATGCCAGTCTTTGGCAAGAACTAGAAGTTTCCTGCTGGCCAACTCTGGTCATACTTGGACCCCGTGGAAATATGTTGTTTTCTTTGATCGGAGAGGGACACAAAGATAAATTATTTTTATATACTTCCATAGCTTTAAAGTATTATAAAGACAGGGGACAGATCAGAGATAATAAAATTGAAATAAAACTCTATAAAGATTCGTTGCCAGCTTCACCATTGCTGTTTCCTGGCAAAGTAACAGTGGACCAAGTTTCTAATAGATTGGTAATAGCAGACACTGGACATCATAGAATTTTGGTCGTCTGGAAGAATGGACAAATTCAGTACAGCATTGGAGGTAAAGTTTGCATCTAATTGTGATACGTAATATATTTTATAGTAAAAAAAATAGCTTGAGGAAGTGTATTAAAATTGAAATTTATCACCCTGGTTTTAGATCTAAAACAGGCTTTTATTGATATCTACATAGTTAATAAAATCTGTTAAGTACATTCTTATTAATCCTGCTTACTCAGGCTGAATTGACATCTAGTAACATAATAGCAAAGAGAAAAGTAATTCATCTTTTTGCAGTCCTGCTTTAATAACATATGCAGCATTAGTACTAAAGTAGGGGTATCTGCATTCCTAATGCAAATAAACCAGTCTTTTTTTTTTTTTTTTTAAAGATTTTATCCGTCTGTTCATGAGAGACAGAGAGAGAGAGGGAGAGAGGCAGAGACATAGGCAGAAGGAGTAGGCTCCCTGCAAGGAGCCAGATGTGAGACTGCATCCTGGATTCTGGGATCACGTCCTGAGCTGAAAGCAGATGTTCAACCACTGAGCTACCCAGGTGTCCCCAAATAAACTACCCGTATTCCTAAAACCTAGTGTTATTCTTAGTGTTCCTAGATATTGTTCCCCTAGCTCTTGGATTTTTCACATTTCTTCTTTTTCATTTTTATTAGAATATGTGTTTTGTGTTTCTTTCGTTTCAGCAACTTGATGTTTGGGTTTACGATGGGCAATTATGAGAATTGTTGCTCAAAATTTATCTATTATAATAGATTGAGTTAAATGGTTAAAAGGTTTTTAACTGTATAATTTTCAAAATAATGTAAATGAATATTTTCCTTTGTTAAACAGAGAAACCATCAGCATGCTACCTTTTCCAAGCATATTTTTAGGAATGATGTTCTCTTGTGATAAATTAAAAGTTATTCTACAGTAGTTTTTAAAAAGAATTTCTGTGATCAGATATAATTAGGAAATATTAGTTAGATGTGGTTTAAGAGACTTTTATTGGTGGTGATGTCACTGTACTCTGCTTTTACTTTTACTCAATCTTTTACTCTGCTTATGTACCTCATGAATATTTAAGAGAGGTTATAACATACAATATTTTCCAATCTGAAGTGACTAGGATACTCTCTCTTTTTTCCCACAGGGAGCTCCCTTTAACAACAATAATAGTATTATTAATAATAGTAATAATAGCAAACACGTATATGCCCGGCATTATTCTAAGCACTTTACCCATATTAATTTAACCCTCACAGAGCTATGAGTTAGGATATATATATATATATATATATAGGTTCCATTTTACGGAAGAGAAACTGAGATATAAAGAACAAGTTCAGATCATCAGCTAGGAAGAAGGTAGAGTTTAAACTAAGTCACTTGGATTCTTGAGTTCATGTTCCTAGCCACTACATTATACTACTTCTCTTACTAACTAACATCTAGGACAGTGGAGTTCTGCAAAGTGTAGTTTGGGAGTGCTGACTTAGAGGCTTTGAATGGCTTATTCTCTGGTCACAGAAGTAACAGTTACATGTTTATGTTGTGTACTCTCCACCCTTGAAACTCTGCCTGTATTAGAGAAGCTGAGAAGTAGGCCATTAGACCCGTATCATTCTTTGTTTCTCCATGTGTTTATAGGATACTGTAGAACTTTGTGACAAAGTGAAGTAGTAAATATGATGGTTTCTTAACCTGAGGTACATAGGCTAGTAAGAAATGCTTGAATGGCCTTCAGGATCTAGGAATCCCGTGAAATTGTTTGTGACATCTTACGGGCACATATATTTTTCTGAGGAAAGAATTCATAATTTTCAATGTATTATCAAGGGAGTATATCTTCCAAAATTGTTAAGTCATTCATCTAGATGTGAAAAGATTAAAATTATTTTTAATGCTTTCTAGTCTAGGTAATAGATAATTAAGATAATTTTAAAAATATTCTCTTCTGATGGATACTACTAAAGTAACCATTATCCAATGAGCCCTGTCATTAGCAAAACTTATTCTTGAAAAAAACATATCTTGGGAAACAGTTTTTATGTGGAAGTATCATACTACTTATATTAAAATCCCAGTTTTAAATACAAATTTTATTTATTTTGGCAAGATTTACATATGTTGTAAAATGATTACAATAGGTTCAACTGACATCCATCTTTCCCTATAGATACAATTAAAAAAAGGGGGGGGGAGAAAAATATATTTTAGGGGGGTTTACTTTGAGATAAATTTTTAAGTGGAAAAAAATTGTCTTGTGACTATCTTGTCTTTTAGGACCCAACCCTGGAAGAAAAGATGGAATATTTTCAGAGTCAACTTTTAACTCACCACAGGGTGTAGCTATAAGGAATAATATCATATACGTAGCAGATACTGAAAACCACCTTATAAGAAAGGTAATTTTCAATTTTAAGTAAACTTTTACTACTTCTAATCGGAAAAAAATTATATTTACTTGCTACATTAAATATTTGAAATGAGAGGGTGATGCTTAAATCCTTCAAATCCTCTTTGTTACACTTTTTTCAGAGTTAACTGCTTTAGTTTTATTCTTAGGTGTCTTAATTTCCTGTGTATCAGCCTGTAGTTGTCACAGAAGACAAACCTACCAATCAAGTCCTTTTTTTATCCTTTGTTTCAAAGTGCCTAATCACCCCCAAAGCTCCTTATTTGGAGGTATTTTCTAACCACTGTTTACAGAGTGAAGCTTTGTCCTTTTTTTGGTTAAAATTTCCTCAAACCTAAAACAAACAAACAAACAAAAAAAAAAACAGAAAAAAACATACCACTCCCACCTCCCTTCAGCTCTTATGCTTTACCTGGAAATACGTATCAGTCAGTCTTAAAATTTGTTTTACCTCATTCCAAAAGTTATTAAAAATGAACTAATATGGGCAGCCCGGGTGGCTTAGCGGTTTAGTGCTGCCTTCAGCCCAGGGTGTGATCCTGGAGACCTGGGATTGAGTCCCACGTCAGGCTCCCTGCATGGAGCCTGCTTCTCCCTCTGCCTGTGTCTCTTCCTCTCTCGGTGTGTGTGTCTCTCAGGTATAAATAAATAAAATCTTAAAAAAAAATAAAAAAGAACTAATACATAAAGGTAAAAAAGGTTCATATCATCTGTTCTATCTCCCCAGAGGTAACCAATCATTCTTAAAACTTTTATCGTTTTAGTAATTTTTTTAAAAGTCAGCTGAGGGATCCCTGGGTGGCGCAGCGGTTTGGCGCCTGCCTTTGGCCCAGGGCGCGATCCTGGAGACCCGGAATCGAGTCCCACGTCGGGCTCCCGGTGCATGGAGCCTGCTTCTCCCTCTGCCTGTGTCTCTGCCTCTCTCTCTCTCTCTGTGTGACTATCATAAATGAATAGAAATTAAAAAAAAAATAAAAAAATAAAAGTCAGCTGAATTTGATTATCCTGAATTAAATATTTTAAAATTCATGTTCACAAATTAAATGGCTCTATATTTTCTTATGCTGTTCTCACCTGATTTTGGAATCAAGGTCACACCAACTTCATTAAACGAGCTAATTAGTTTTTGCTCTCTTTTCTGTTTTTTGGAATAATTTGTCTAATATAGGAATTAATGGTTTTTGAATATTCATTAAGACTCCTCTGTAACATCATCTGGACCTGTGGCTTTTTGCAAAGAGGAATTATCTTAACAGTTTTTGATATATTTTTTAAATCAAGATGGATTTCAAGGGCCCATCCCTAGCTGCCTGTTGTATTTTGCAGATTGGGCTCAGTTAAAATACAAATAAGGTTACATTGATGAATATTCTTTACAATTTCAGGAGATTATAGAACAGCCACTAAAAATAATGTAAGAGGATACTGCTTAAATCAATGTAACTCACCATAGTAACAGAATAAAAGATAATAACTATGATTGCTTTGCTAGATTAGATATTAAATGCTTGTTAATGTTTTTCTATTTATGATAAAATTAATAAACTTGAAACAAGTATCCTCAATATGATAAAGAACATCTATAAGAAGCTTATAACTCTGATTAATGTGAAATAGTGAATGTTTTTCCTCCAAGCCTGGGAACAAGGGAAGGATCACCATTCTCACCACACCTGTTAAAAGTTACCCCCAGTGTAAGTACTAGCCATTGTGATGAGGCAGGAAAGAGAAAAGGCATACGCTGAAAAAGAAGAACTGTCTATTTGCCAATTGCATGTCACATACATAGAAAATTCTAAGAAATCTATAAAAAAACTACTTGAACAAATAAATGAATTTAGGAAGGTTGCAGAATACAATGTCAATATAAAAAGATGAACAGTATTTTTATATACTAGTAATAATAAATTAGGTTGGAATTTTTAAATTTTATTTACAATAATAAAAAATACATAGAATAAATTTAACAAAATACATGCAAGAACTGTATACTTAAACTCTAACATTACTAAGAAAAAAAATAATCCAGTAATTGGATTGGAAGGCTCAATATCCATTCTCTCCAAATTGATCTGTGGATTCAATGCAATCTCAATCAAAATTCCATCAGGCTCTTTTGTTTGTTTGTTTGTTTTAAAGATATTGACAAGCAGGTTCCAATATTTTTACTTGGAGGTGGCAGAACAAAGGTTTACTGTATCTAAAACAATCTTGGAAAAACAAAGTTAAAAGACACTATCTAATTTCAAGACTTACTCTAATACTACACTAGTCAAGACAGTGTGGTACTTTTACAAGGATAGATGTATAGTTCAGTAAAAAAGAATAGAATGTCCAGAGGTAACCTCATAACCTACACAGTTACTTAATTTTTCAAAAAGCATCAAAATAATCAAGGGAGAAAGGAAAATCATTTCTGCATATTGTACTTGAACAACCAGATACTCATATGTAAGGAAAAAAGAAACATGACCCCTACTTCACACATCAAATACAAACATCAATTCAGTATTCATCAGAGACCTAAATATAAATGTTAAAACCATAAAGTTTTTTTAGAAGAAAACAGAATTTTTGTGACTTGCAGATTGGAAACGTTTCATAAAGACCGAACATAGAAAAATCCTAAAAGAAAAAAAATGATAAATTTGAATATATCAAAATTTAAACCTTCTTAAAATTTACTATTAAGAAAATGAAGACAAGCTACAGGCTGTCAGAAATTAGTCACAACAATTTACAAAACATATCTGAAGGGATTAGAATCCATGAAATATAAAGTTTCCTACAAATAAGTGGCAAAGATTTAAAGACATTTTTTCAAAAGATGTAAGAATGGCCACAAACTCATAAAGTAATCAATATCACAGATTAAAAAGGAATGCAAAGTAAAACCACAATGAAAGGGGCACCTGGATAGCTCAGTCTGTTAAGTATCTGCCTTCGGCTCAGGTCATGATCCTAGGGTCCTGGAATGGAGCCCTGTATCAGGCTCCCTGCTCAGTGGGGAGTTTGCTTCTCCCTCTGCCTCTGCTGCCCCCTCTGCTTGTGTTCACCTCCTCTTCCTCTCTCTCTCTCTCACACAAATCTTAAAAAAAGAAATCACAGTGAAATACATCCACTGTAATGGTTAAAATTAAAAAGACTGACCAAAAATAAAAGACAACACCGTAGGTGGACAAGACAAGGATGTAGAGCAGTTGGAACTTGCATACATTGTTGGTGGAAATTCAGAAATGATAGATCACTGGGGAAAAAAAACCTGGCAGTTTTGTTTTGTTTTAATCAAACTAATCCTATACCTGCCCTATATAGTCCTGGGTATGTACACAAAAGAAGTGAAAAAATACATTCACCAAAAGGCTTATATACAAGAATATTGAAAGCAACTCTATTTGAAGGCCCCAAACTGGAAATAGTCCAAGTATCCATCCGTAGAAAAATAAGTTAATGAACTGTGGCATACTCCTATGATGGAATACTGAACAAACTACTTATAGATGAATAAATCTCAGAAACCTGTTTGGTAAAAGGCTCACACGCAAGAGTCCGTGCTTTTTGGTTCAGTTTATCTGAAGTCTTAGAAGAGATCCATGATGGAAAAACAGTACTCTGCCTCTGGGGGTAGGAGTGATTGGAAGGAGGCTTAAGGGGACTTAACAGAATGAAGATCTCATTTGATATCTTTATGTAAGTTGAGGCTACACAGAGGAATGCATTTATGAGAATTCATTGAATGATACATTTAAGGTATGTGCATTTCATTGCAAATTTTGCCTCAAGAAAAAAAGGAACTAAAAAATATGGAACTCTTGTTAATTTTAAGTATGCAGAGATATTTAGGGTCAGTGTACTCTTGTTTACAGTTTATGTTGAAATGCATCAAAAAGTGTAAATGAATTGAGGGACAGCTCAGTAAGATACATGATAAAGCAGGTAAGTGAAATGTTTATATGAAGTGGTGGGTGTATGGATGTTTGACGCAAAATTCTTTCAACTTTTATGTTTGTTTGATAATTTTCATGGTAAAATGTTGGGGGAAGGTCTCAGGAGTTGAAAACCAAAGCATCTTGTTTCAGTAGACTTCATTATCTTAGTTTATAAAGTAGAGGCAGTATAATGTAGTAGAGCTAGAACTGCCTGGGTTTAAATCCTAGATCTCAACATACCAGCTATGGGATATTGGGAAAGCTGCTTTATGATCTGTGCCTCAATTTCCTCAATATTAATCATAGGATTATTATGAGGAAGGAAGGATGGATGGATGATTCTTGGATCAATGCCTAGCACATATTAAGCTCTGTATTTGTCAAGTACTAGACAAGCATAATTGAAATACATACATTTAGTTTTAAGAAACATGCACCTTTCTAGATTTTGCTTTGAAATTTCAAATTTCACTTTCTTTTAACATATTTTATAGTTAGGATGACATCAACACCAATCCTGGTAGAGGCCATGGTGAGGGAGGGGGAATGAATGGAAGGGGAAATGAAAAGGACTGAGTTTTGTGCATTTGAATAACAAGCTCACCCTATACTTGATTAGCCTTTTTCTTTTAACTTTTTATTTAAAGAGTATTTGTGTTGCAGAAACTTTCTGTATGTTCTGTTGGAAATCTTCAGGTACCAAAAGGAAAAAAAAAGTAACATGCATTTCATAAAACATGTTGATTTTTGTAGATTGATCTAGAAGCTGAGAGGGTGAGCACTGTAGCCGGCATTGGAATTCAAGGTACAGATAAAGAAGGTGGAGCTCCAGGAGAAGAACAACCCATTAGTTCCCCTTGGGATGTAGTTTTTGGAATGTCAGGTATGTAAACTTTTAGTAGTAAATATAAGTTACTTTTCCTTTAATAAATGTAAGATTTTTAAAATATTTGGGGGACATCATTTGGATTAATTCTAGTTGCTAGTTATTTTATATTTTTGTTACCTATGGTGGGATTTGTTAATTGTGTAACAATAAAGCCAGCAGTAATATATGTAAGTTACAGTATATATTATATGTAACATTTTATACACACAATAGACTATATATTACTCTGAGGTTAAAGAATTTTGTCGTAGCTGCAGTTTCCAATTAATAGTTCTGAATATTCTTAAATTGGAAAGACTGTAGTTTCAGAACTTCAGATGATTATTCATGAACTATGCTATTTAACAATGTCCTTTTTATTTACTCTAATTTGAAAAGAAATCAAGACGTGATAGTTGCTTTTTATAGATTATTAAAATTTGTACTGAAATAGGATAGCTACTTTTGGGTAATTAAAAAACTTTAGTGAATTATGTAGGTATTTACAATGAGATATTTACATTATTTTTATAATCTTATCTATATTAATTGACTAAAATATAATGTAGGAGCATTAGTACTCTTTATTTTTCATTGGCCCCCAGTGATTCTGAGATAGTTATCTACAGATCTAAAACCAGAGTAATGAAAAAAGAAAGTTAGTAGAATACATTGAAAATGGAATTTGGGGATCCCTGGGTGGCGCAGCGGTTTGGCGCCTGCCTTTGGCCCAGGGCGCGATCCTGGAGACCCAGGATCGAATCCCACGTCGGGCTCCCGGTGCATGGAGCCTGCTTCTCCCTCTGCCTGTGTCCCTGCCTCTCTCTCTCTCTCTCTCTCTCTCTCTCTGACTATCATAAATAAATAAAAAAATTAAAAAAAAATTAAAAAAAAAAAGAAAATGGAATTTGGGACTAGATGGTTTGTATGATTTGAATTATATTTATAGGGTGAATAAGCACGGGCTTGGTTTAATGGCTTTACATTTGAGATAATTTCCTATTGTGATGTTAATTTGGTTATAATTCTAAGACCTTCATTTTTTCCATTGTGATTATCTTTATAAGACTTTTAATATCAAATAATTGAATGAACTCTAGTATTACTGCACTTAATAAGAACTTAGGTATTTTGCATATGTTACTTTTGAGACTTTTATTTTTGGAATTCTGTGTCCTAATCATGAGTTGTTTTAGTGGCTCGAAGGGAGAGGGAGCAGTGTGTCCCAGGTACAATCAGTAAGGGAATATATGCAGAGAATTGTAAAACATAGTAAAGCCAGCTACAGTTCAGTCTTCTTTTTGTTACCATACACCCACAATTCTAAATAATTAAAAATATTCATCCCCACCAGGACCATCTATCAGTCCTGCCTCCTTGGCAAGAGTACACTGAACTATTGATACACTGAACTATTTGAACATAAATCTTATAGATAGAAAAATAGGGAAACATCTCTCTCAGTAAAATAGTCAAAGTGGATGAGAATTGTTACTTTGATATGCTGTTACCCTCCCTCATGGTAAAAAAATGGTCTCTCCTTAGTATGTACCCCCCCCCCCCGGGATTTAAAGCTAATAGTGCATATAGCAATTCAGCTATAGATATTTACATTTTTGCAAATTACAGTTTCTGTTTGCTGTATCTGTTAATAATTGCCACAGTAACACTTCATAATAAATCATCCCAAAACACTCATACAAACCTAAACCTTTATTTCTCAGATAGGATTGGGGTTCAGCTGATCAAGGCTAAGCCTGGGCCTGGTTCCAAGATGTTGTTTGGGTCTAGATCTGCCCCATTTGTTTCTCAACTTCTTTGAACCAGTAGCTGTCTGAGGCATATTCTTTTGGCAAAAGGCAGGAACACAAGAGAGTAAGCCCAGTTACACACATTTTAAGCCTTTGCTCACGTGGGATCTGCTTACCTATATTTTATTAGATGTGTCACATGACTAAGCTCAAAGTCATGGGACAGGGCTATGCACTTTGCCTACAATGAGGCCATGAAAGGGGTGTGGATGTATAATGGAACAGAGAAGTGAAGAAGTAAGACTAGTAATTCAGTCTATCACATAAATCAGTTTATATTGCTTAAAAATAGGATGTACTTTACTGGATACTTTATTTAGTCGGATTTACTTAAATATTTTTTTTCTAGGCTAAAAGTTTTTCATACTTTGTAGCATGGAATCTCTGGTTGTTTATTTCCTATTGAGAATGTACCCAAATTGTTTTCTAAGGAAATCTTGGCTCTATAGACAAAGTACTCTCTCAGCTTCCAACTGGAGTAATATGCTGAGACTCATGTCTTTATTAAGCTCAGTTCTCAGTAAAGGAAGTGAGACTTACCTTAGCTCAACAGATCATTAAGAACATATGGCTCCACATTTCACTTACAGCTCAGAATAGCTTTGCTCCAGGTACTTGGCAAAAGTAGTACTCTTGAATGCACTTAAGCTTAACAACTTTCAAACTGCTAAGAGAAAATGGTTTTCAAGCATTATATCTTGAAGGACTTATAATCACAATGACTATTCTAGTCCAACAGTTTTTAACCTTGAGTTATACCCCAGGGATTCCTGGTTAGGCTTTTTCAGGTACTTAAACTTCCCAGAAATTCTATATTAGATTTGGGGCAATTGATCAGATTCTCATCAGAATTTCAAAGTTATACATTACCCAAAAACATTTTAGAGCCACTACTTGAAATTACTCTAAAATCTAATCCTAGATTAGATTTGCCAAGTATGAGGAAATTGCATCACAGAATATTTGTTCTTACAGTTGTGTTTACTAAACAGTATTTTGGCATCAAGTCATTCATTAAAAAATGTATCAAAACATAAATACATTTATTTATATCTATGTGTGCATATGTGTTTCATATTATGTATTTCATCAAAACACAATCCTGTAGGACTTGTTACCATTTTTATGATAGGAACTTGCTGGTAGTTTAATCATTACCTTATAAATAAATTTCTTTACAGATAATTAATACTTTTTTCCAAAATATCAAGTTTGTTTTAAGCTCCTTGATAATTTGAATATCATAACTGATTATATTTGCTTTGTTTTATTACCAGAAACCTTAGATTATCTTTAGCAAAGTATAATGAAAGCATGCATTCATTTTTTGGTATTAGTACAGCTGCATCTCTTTTCTACCCTGTTTCCTGTTGCTTCAATTTCTTTATTTTAAATTTATTAGTGTTTGTTTCTTTGTAAGCTACCTGAATCCTTTGTGGAAATAAAAGTATAAGTAAATGGAGTAGGATCCATTACTGGTGTAATTAACTGTGATAATTGATCCACATAGGAAAAAAAAAAACTTTAAAATCTGGGAATTGGGATCCCTGGGTGGCGCAGCGGTTTGGCGCCTGCCTTTGGCCCAGGGCGCGATCCTGGAGATCCAGGATCGAATCCCATGTCGGGCTCCCGGTGCATGGAGCCTGCTTCTCCCTCTGCCTATGTCTCTGCGCCTCCCCCCCCCCCCGACTATCATAAATAAATTTAAAAAATGTAAATAAAATAAAATAAAATAAAATCTGGGAATCATAAAAGTAAAAATGCTTTCTTCTAAGAACTATAAATGTACATTTTTTAGCCAATCTTTTGATGTAGAACCAAAACCTTTTCTTCACGTAGCCTCTGATGGGTATTATACCACTCAAAATATATTGCTTTGGTTTCCTTGAAGTGTCATGAGAATTGTCTTTCCACACTTAGTTCAACAATTTGACTTAGATACTTGATTTTATTAGGTCTTCTCCAAAGTGTACAACTTTGTTTTCATAAAAACAACTTTGCATTCATATTGAATTGGTTGCTGTACATATAAATTATGTAATCGTACAACTGGTTTAAATAGATGTGGAATTAAATGCAACTTGAGGGACACCAGGGTGGCTTAGCGGTTGAGCATCTGCCTTTGGCTCAGGGCATGATCCCACAGTCCCGGGATCGAGTCCCACACTGGGCTCCCTGCATGGAGCCTCTTCTCCCTTTCCCTCTGCCTCTGTCTCTGCCTCTGTCTCTGCCTCTCTCATGAATAAATAAATAAAATCTTAAAAAAAAAAAAGCAACTGGAAGGGGACTGGCTGATAAAAATGGTTCTTGTAAACACTTAAGTTTTTTAGTACATTAAGACAATATTTCTGAAGTTCTACCATAGTTAGGAATTTGAGAGAGGACAGAATTATCAGGAGGAAAACATGGGAAATAGATTCAATGTTGTAATGTCTTCATACATTAGGCTGTCCTGCAGTGCAAATAACAGACCACAGCTACAGCTAGCATTTGCGGACAAGTCTTAGGCATCTGAGTAAGAAACCGAGTTACAGAAGAGACCTACAATATGATTTCTTTTACAGAAAGTTGAATAGGAAGCAAGACTATACAACAAACCTTTGAACAAGGGGGGAGTTAGGGGTGCTGACTCTTCTGTGGGGAAGAAAAATCTGTGTGTAATTTTGACTACCCCAAAACTTAACTACTACTAATAGCCTGCTGTTGCCTGGAAACCTTACTGACAACATAAAGTTGATTGATGTGTATATTGTGTATTATATATGTTATATATTCTTACAATAAAGTAAGCTAGAGAAAAGAAAATGTTAAAAAATAAGAGAAAATACAGTATAGTATACAAGACCCATCCACCAGTAATGGATCCTACTCCATTTACGTATACTTTTATTTCCACAAAGGATTCAGGTAGCTTACAAAGAAACAAACACTAATAAATTTAAAATAAAGAAATTGAAGCAACAGGAAACAGGGTAGAAAAGAGATGCAGCTGTACTAATACCAAAAAATGAATGCATGCTTTCATTATACTTTGCTAAAGATAATCTAAGGTTTCTGGTAATAAAACAAAGCAAATATAATCAGTTATGATATTCAAATTATCAAGGAGCTTAAAACAAACTTGATATTTTGGAAAAAAGTATTAATTATCTGTAAAGAAATTTATTTATAAGGTAATGATTAAACTACCAGCAAGTTCCTATC